GTTACCCACAAGCTCAGAAAAAAAAGTCAGCCTCGTTAAGATCATCTCATCATCCTGCTTGTGTCCTGCTCAGTCCCACAACAGTGCACCAACCCGAGCAGCCCTCACCATCACAGCAGAGAAGTACATGGAGGTCACACCGTACATGATGATAAAAATGCGGGCGTCTGAGAGATTGCTGAAGCAGTAATAGAGACCAACTGCAAAGAGGAAAGAGAAACAGGTGAGATTCCCTTCAGCCTGAAAGAAAATCCACCTGGTGGAGACATGCAGCACACTGCAGGGATGTAACAAACCCAGAGACCACCTGAGGGTCCGGCTGCAACACGGCTGGGCTCACCTGGGAACATGAACACGAGGAGCTGCAGGTCAAAGTAATAGGAGGACCAGGTGGTGGGCTGGTGCTCTGAGACAGAGGCAATGATGGGAATGTTGTTCTTGGCATAAGAAGGATCCAGCAGGGAGTAGAAACGACCCGTCCATGGGGAGATTTTCCCTAGCAGAGAGGAGAAAATCAGCATCACAGCTAGCAATGCCAACAGGTTCTGTCCTAAGGGAAACGTGCAAAGCTGAATGAGCAATCCTGCACCTCACTTAACATCTCCATTACTCAAAACTCTGATTTTAAAAAGGAAATTAAGTGTGATTTTACACTAAAGAAGATTTCTCCCCAACCTAATCCACATGGTGCAAGCATTAATGCAGAAATCATGACTGACAAAAGCTGTGCCCTTCGGGGGGGTTAACGGGTGGGCTGGGGTTGGACTTGGTGATCTGAAAAGTCTTTTCTAACTGTAATGATTCCGTGGTTCTATGATTCAAAGCACTGGAAAGAGACGAAGCCAGCGGTGAAACGTGCTCAGCAACATCACCATGAATGGGAGCACCACTCATTGAACTACCTGTGAGCATCAGCACAGCCCCGACTGTCAGCAGGACGAAGCCAACCAGGGAGATGACGCTCCTGAAGAGGACTTCGAACTGCTGTGGGTTCAGCTTGCTGCGGAGGTAGTCCACAAAGGCATGGATCTGGCACAAGCCAAAGACGCCCAGGGCAGCCATGTGTTCTGAGGAGAGGACAGGCTGCAAGCAGGGGAGAGTGTGATCAGACAGAAGGAAAGAGCAGCTGAGTCACTGCAAAAACAGACCTCAGCAAAATCAGTGCTGAAGTCATGACTTGCTGAAGTCGTAGGAAGCCATTTCCTCCCTGTGGACATGACTAATTGCTAATCAGCCTCAATTCTGATAGGAATGCACATGAAAAATGAACTCTGAGAGCCCTCCTTGCTGTCAGCTCTCCTCCCGACGAAGTTCCCAAGTCCACAAAACCTGTATTCCCCAGACCAGGACACCAAAGGTGAGAAAGAGACAACTGCTTCTCTTGAAGACACCAACTACATTTCCTGCTGCATGGAGGTGTGTGCTGGTGAGAGCGGTTCCTTCACGGAAAATGGAACTTCCAAGATTTCTTGACAGACAAGCAGTGCTGGAAGGCCTCACCTGGAAGCCAACAAAGGAGATCTGCATCGAGAGGATCGTCCCCAGGCAGTACACAGTGCAGTAGGCAACATAGATCCTGTGTGAGAAGCGGCCAGTCAGCATCAGCACAAGGACGTGCAGTGGGATCAAGTTGATCAGGAAGACGTAGCCACCCCACGAGGAGACCTGGGAAGAGAAAAATGAAAAACACCAATTCCAGGGCTGGACAGGCTGCACGGTGGGGTCCAGCAGCAAGTTCTGTTCTCCTGGGATCACGTGCTCTCCCCAAAAAGGGCACTGAACAGCCCCGGCTGCCAGAAGCCCAGATTTATCAGACACCTGGGTGCCAGGACAAGGAATGCTCACCATGTAGAAATAGGCAAGAGCACACATCGCTGCCCAATAGATAGAGCCAGTTTTCACAGCCTTGATCCACATGTAGTAAGTTAGCAGCATGCAGAAAATGGCAATACCTGGGTGGGGAGACACAGCGAGGTCAGAGCAAGCTCACATCACCCTGGATGTCAGCGAACCCCAACGTCTATACATCAGAATGTCTGACTGCATTAAAAAATACATACATAGAAATCTGCCTATCTTGCTGCTGCTCCACCAGAAAGAACAGCACCTTGTATGAATAGTAGGAAAACAGTTCCGTATCAGATTGCAAGACTGAAACATGGTAATATTTAGGAGGCAATGTGGTTTCTGGCTTCACCAGCTACCCTTTAGTGCAGCAGTGATTCCTTATGTGGTCCCCCATGGCCCATAGAGGGGAGAGGAACGTGGCTTCTTAAAGGTTTCCCTGTTCTGAGTGCTACAAACTCACCTTCGTTATCGTAGGATCCAGCAACAGAACGTGAGATGTACCCAGGCACAACTGCAATCATGGCAGCAGCGAGGAGCCCTGCGCCTGCATCCTGGGGAGCACAGCCAGAGGGCAAGAGAACCATCAGATCATGGCCCTGCGTGCACAGCAACGCCTCAAAGGAATAAAATACAGGGTCCTCCCTGTACCTTGAGCTCTTTGGTGAGGTGGTAAGTCACAATGGTGGTGAAGGAAGAGAAGAGGGGTGCCAGGAAGACGCAGACGTTCCGGATGTCGATGGTGATGTGGAAGAAATGCAGCACGTGGTAGATGGCTGCTGAAGTGATCATCAGCCCTGCGGGATGGATGTGGCACCATCAGCGGGTTGCAATTGGAGCAGGGCAGCCAAAAAGGTGGGAAGGACGGAACAGACAGGAGCTGCTGCTGTCCCACATCCATGCCCTGGCAGCCCTGCATTGCACAAATCGCGTTCTAGCACAGCCAAAGCCTGCTGGCCTACCTGGATAAATGGTTCCACCAATAATCCTGCCCAAGGGGTACCAGGCTCGGTCATCAAACCAGTTGTGGAATTTGTAGAAGCCTTCCTCTGCCAGGAAGCGGGTTGTGCGGTAGTTAAAGTACCTGCAGCAACATGAGCACCTCTGAGTCCAGACACAGGTTGGACAACTGCTCACAGACTGCTGAGAGCAAACAGCCCTGCAAACAGCACCCAACATCCACTGATCCCAAAGAGGGAAACCCACAGGACGAGGGGAAGACACTTACGGGTCAAATTCATGGATGACACTTTCAAATCTTAAGACAGAAAAGAGTCTTGTAGAGAAAGCTGTGAACACAAAGAAAAGAAGAATGAGTTTCCAAAGGAAACAGCACTGAATGAATAACAGGGTGCACTTGGGTCACACTTTAAGGACAGATGGGAGCTTGGTGACCTAAGGAAGAACTGAAGGAGGAGCAGTGGCAGTTCCTGGGATCCTGCAGACTTACACAGCACAGCTGCCATGGACAGGATGAGGAGCTTGAGCAGCGTGTCCTGCTTCTCATAGGAGAGCCGAAGGAACCCCAGCTTGGTCATTGTCACGTCAAAGGCAGGGAAACAGACACCTGAAAACCTAAAAATGAGAAATGGAGATTGTCAGAGAGTGGGGCCGGGCCCCTGCCGTGTATCTGCTGCCTTCCTTCTGCCCCTTGAACCCCAGAGCCTCACCTGATTAGTCGGCCCAAATCTTGGCTGAGGCTTCAACTTCTTTCACAGAGAGCAGAACTTCTTTGGGGCTGATGTGTCTGTTTCTCTGTGTGCGAAACAAAATAACCCTAAGCTTTCAGCAGCTAAAGAACCAAGGCTGGTTTTCCTTGGCCGAGCTATAGGAGATGCACAACAAACCCACAGAGGTTCCAAACTACTGCTCTGCAATGCACACAGGGCAGAGGTTTGCTAACACAGGTCTGCACAGGCAGCTCTTGTGGCGCTGCGTGCTGCAGCTGTTTGACCTGACCTCCTTGGGTGGAGGAAAAAACAGCGAAAACCTGATGTCAGGCACCAAGGAAGTGAAACTGCAGGCAGGGATTAACGGCTTCATTCTCTGGAAACACCCTGAATTTTTAGAGATGCTTTCTGCCCACTCAGATCGGAAAAACAAAAGAACCCAAACTGCTGTAGCCCTGGTCCAGAGCGGGCTGATAAAGCCGCAGTCCGTATCTCCGAGTTAAAAGGCCACGTGGGAGCTTATTTGGCCAGGCTGAGATTTAGAAATAGCAGAGTGCACCTGAAAACCATTTTGCGACCGAGCAGCGATTCTGACCTCCAGCCATCTACAGTGATACAGAAACAAGGCTGCGTGTGAGCATTTCTGGGCCTCGGGGTAACGGTCAGCAGCGATGGGGACAGAGCAGCGATAAGGGCAGAACGGCGATAAAAGGGCGGAGCGCAGCGCGGTGCGGGGCAGGAAGGCACAGCGCTGCCCCGCAGCCCTGCGAGCCCTGCAGGCCGCGGCAGCCCCCACGGCAGCCGGTGCCCGGCTGTCCCGCAGCCCCGTGCTGCCCGCCGCCCCGCCGCCCGTCGCCCCATAACGGCGCGGCCCGTGCTCAGAGCTCAGCACCCCGCGCCCCGCGCCGCCTCTCAGCTCGGCTCCCAGCCCCGCCATCCCGCAGCTCCCGGGCCGCGCTCCTCACCCCTCAGGCCTGGCACGGCGCGGCCCAACGCCAGAACGGCTCTCAGCCCTTTGGGCCCAGCCGCCCAGCCGCCCCGCTCCCCCGCTGCCCCCCGCCCTCACCCGGGCGCCGCTCTCGGCCCCGCCGCCCCGGCCATCCGCCCCGCGCAGCCGCCCCGGCCCGCCTCACCGCTCCGCCGGCTTCCCATTGGCCCGATGCGACGCCACTCGAGCGACGCCGCCGCTCATTCAGCACAACGCGGAGGGCGGGATTTGTACGGAGCCTTCCGATTGGCGGAGCGTGCGGAGGGCGGGGCCGCTTGAGAGCGAGCAGTGACGTGTCCGTCCGGGCTCGGAGCCCCGAGGGCGGGGCGCGGCCGGTCACGTGCCCGGAAGCGGGCGGTGCGCGCCACGCGGGGGACGCCACGTGGGAGCGCCGGGCCCGCACCCCGAGGCGGAGCTGAGGCAGGGCAGATTTGTCCCGAATTCACCCCGAGAAGAACCCGAGAACGGCCGCGCCAAATAAACTGCTGCATGCGGGATGGCTGAAACTCGATTTTTTTTTTTCATTTAACATTTCAGTGTGAAAATACTCGAGAACAAGTTTGTTTCTCCAAAGCCTGACCCCTGTTGTGAAAAACCACGGGGCAGTGGAGAGGCAGCGCTGTGCATCTGGAACGCACTGCGGGACGGACCGCGCACAGAGCCACACCCACGCACGTGGACAAAGCAGCGCGGCCACCGCTACAACCGAAAACCAACAGCCCTGCTCTGGGTACAGCAGAACAGCGTGTGGAGCCACTGCGGTGACGCATCCCTGTGTCCATGGAAAACGCCCAGCCAGGTGCTGCTCACAAGTAGCTTAATGGCCACAACAGAAATGAAAAATGCACGAAAACCCAAAAAAACCTCATACCCAACCCCAGATTTAATGCGTTTCCCGAGTTTCCATTTCGGTTCCTGACCTTGTTTAAGCAATTTCCCTTTGCAATTTCAGAGATGTAAAAACCCCGAGCGTTTGGTGGCCATGGCGTGGAGCTGGCTCCCTCTCTGCAGGACGGTGCCCTCCCGTACTGAGCCCTGGAAGGTGGCACTTGTCATGGGGCTGTCCGCAACCGGGGACCAGAGCTGGTCACTGCGGGGCGGGGAGGCCGAGCTGCCCCTCCTGGGCTGACAGCCCTGGGAGCTGCTCAGCACAGCAGGACTACAAAAACCCCGACCTGAGTTACAACATACAAAGGACAACGGTACAGGGAGACACAGCACAGGTTACCCACAAAGCTAGGGCAGAACAGGGGCCACAAAGCACTCATCTGAGGGGAGGGAGATGGCACAGGAAGGAAGTACAAAACAGTCCAAGGGAAGGGCTGGGAACATGCTATAAAACAAGCACAGGGAACCTGGCTTCTTGTATCTGACAAAGGTGTTAAAAATCCACGCTTCTCCCAAGCTCTCCACCTGCATGCTCACAATGGGGGACATGGAAACACCCAGGGGGGCTTCTGGTGGTGGGAAAACACGCGAGTGCCTCGCCATGCTGGGTCCTGCATTTCCCCAGGAGGTTTCTAGCAGCTGAGGCCCGGCCTGCATCATGTCCCCCCTTTGGGCTGTGGTTCAGTGCCCCGGAGCAGGCTTGTGTTTGGCAGGAGACGGCTGGGGAGAGAGCAGCCTGTCTGCAGAGGCGCTGCTCAGGGTGGACTGAAGGTAAACGGTCTTGTGGAAGAGTCTGTTGCTGAGGAAAACCACCAGGGAGAAGAGACGGAGCTGGAAGTGGCTGGAAGGGAAGAAAGGCTGTGAGCTCGTAGTTTGGGCTCTCCCTGATGCCACACCAACATGGCACCCTGTGTCCAAAAAGCCCCCTTCAGCCCTCACCGCATTTGTCATGCCTTTATGGACAGGGGGAGTCTAACAGGTACGGAAAGCTCAGCCCTGCTATTTCCACCTCACCAACCCAGCTGGAAGCCTGCTCTCCCTGTGCTGCTTCTGTTTAGCACGTCTGACCCAGTTCTAACACCACCACGGAGCATCCCCAAGCCTCTACTTACTACGTTTTGCCAGGTGTCTTTGCTTCATTGGCGCTGATGATGAACAGAGGGAAAAGGATGGAAAAGAGGCAGCCACTGGAAGGAAAAAGAAAAGGGTTTGCTGGAAGTTCTCTGTGACGGGTGGTGCTGTGGATAAGGGTACACATCTCTGATGTAAAGGAGGGTAGAAGTTGGGAAAGGGGCATTAATGTGTCCTGCTCCCCCCAGACAGCAACCTGACCCCCTGAAGACTCACCTGATGATATAGGAGGACTGCATTGCGGTGAGGAAAGCCAGTGGTAAGCCAAATCCAAAGTAATAGGGCCAGTTTCTCTCAATGTTGGACAACCGTTGGTGCATTTCAATTCCTAGTGAGAACAAAACCCCAAAGAAACCCACTGAGTTGGCACGCTGGGGAAAGACCTTCACTACTTGTAAAGGAAAACGATGAACAGAACAAGAAGCACTTTTTATTTCCAGCCTTCTTCAAAGAACACGGGAATACTTTGGATTGCTGTCTTAAAGAGCAAACAGAAAACAAACTCATACAGTAGCATCAGAATGAAGAGCAATAGCCAGCAAAGTGGCTCCTGTCAGCTGCTGCAGAACTGCCAAGAGGTTTGCTCGCTTCTCTGCCACATGCACAGCTGCACACCTGCCCTGCCATCAGCACGTGGGCACAGAGGCCGTTCTGCAGGAGGCAGCACCCACCTTTGTTAAACCAGCGGTACTCGAAACAGTAGAGAGAATAGAGCAGGGACATGTGCAGGAGGCTGATCAGCTGGCCGACCACATCGATGGGGAACAGACTCACAATCATCCCCTGCGGAAGAAGAGGGCCGGTGAGGGAGGGCTGCTCAGCACGGCAGCGGTGCGCCCGGCCGTCAGCGCTGTGATCTCACCTGGATGAGGAACAGCGCCTGCAGCAGGAGGTTGAACAGCATGTCGGCAATGATTTTACTGACACTGGGGAAGGGGTGAGGCTTTCTGCCAGAAACTTCAAATGCGAGATCTGCAATGTCCTGCACGGGAGGGAAGGGGAAGGACGAACAGCTCACCAACAGACCGCACTGCTCAGCTGCGCTCACCCCTACAAACAGCCCCAGCCGCTTTTCAGGACGGGATTCCAGATTCTGCAATCCTGGAAGTTTGCCCCACACCTACACAGGGGTGCCAAGGTGTTCAAACACGCAGCCTGTGCCACTTCTGGGCTTGACGTGCTGTCTTTTATCTGGACCCAAAATGCCACCCCATGCCGTCACCAAGAGGGGCCGCAGGGTGTCCCACCCATTTCCTCCTGACCAATTAAGCTTTAACACAGAAATCGCCCATCGTTTGCATGAGTCCACCTTCCTACCTGAAACCAGATGGCATTGACGACCTTACTGAGCACAAACAGGGGAAGGACCCAGAGGGCACTGAAAATGGAGGTGAGAATGAACTCCAGCCAAGACCAGACATCGCCGTGTAAGGAAGGGTCACCTTTGGAAGATGGGCAGAAAGCAGCACGTCAGGAATCTCCTCATTTCACATCACAACCCCACAGGTCCGTGTTAAACCACCCTGGTACAGTGACATTCTCATTGTAGTGCTTGAGTAAAGTGCTCCAACCTTAGCATTTCTCCCTTAAAGGCACATTTCCACCCACTTGCACTGCACTTATTTGCAAAAATATTTGTATCTATTGACAACCACGGGTGTTCAGTAGCAAAACACGTAGGCTAGATCCCTGACACAACGAGAGTTCAAAGACTGTTGCCAACCCTTCCAGCCTGATTACCCATCTGTCTGATTTTCTACTGAACAATTAATCACAGCCTTGCCTCACTACTCTGTGCCCCTTAATACACAGACAGGAGAGCACTTACCGATGATCTGAGCTGTGACCGACTGAAGCACAGGTATAAACACTCGGTAAAACAAGAAGAGACTAAGCTACAGGGAAAGAGAAACAACAAGGGTTCGTGGTGAGGCTTTGCACATTTGCTTCTTCTGCTCTATTCTGCCACCTGGCGCGGTGAAATCCCAACACACCTAATAAACCTCCAGCACAAAGCCCCAAAGGTACCACGGCCCTTCTGCTGCCACCGTGGCCCCAAAGCCACACCATGGGGCCAGCAGACAGCTTCCTATTTGGCAGCTAAATAGCTCAGTTTCAAACAGTAACGTTCATACAGCTGATCTGAAGGCTGTCACTGCTGATCTGCAGGCAGAGCCTCTGCCTGCTCCACTCACACCATTACAAGGGCGTCGATCCATCAACACAGAACCAAGGATCTCTGTTTAAATACAGCCAACATCTGTGATTAAGAAGTTTAACGTTTCTACCCTGACTCCTCATACTCTGCCACAGCCTAATGGAAAAGTGAAGTTGGTGATGCAGTAGATTGCAAAGCATGTGCTCCATTAACCAGCAGTCTAATCAAACTTATTCACAGTCATGTAAGGTCAGAACTGAGGCAATGTCTTGAGATACCAATATCCATTTTGGTAAACAACATCCCTGACTGCAAGGCTTGAATGTGCAGGAAAAGCACAGCCTGAAAGACCCGTAAAATCAGCAGGTTTTGACACAGACTGTTCTCAAGTTACTCTACCACTTCAATCCTGCACCACCTCCTTTAAGGACAGTGCTGGCACTGGGAGATGTAAGGATTCCCTCTGCTCCCACAGCCTCTCAACTGCGGGGCAGCCAAGCCCTGCTGAAAGCTCACAAGCACTGCAGCACATCACAGCATTTGAACGTGGAAAACTCCCCAAACATCCACTTACCCAGAAAACACCTCCATTCCAGGCACAGCACTGAAATATCCGGCTCACGATCCGGGGCTCGCTGGAAAGCAACAGGACAGGTGTGCATGAGACACTTTGCTCCTGAGCGTGGACAAACAGCAACTGTTTCAGTCTCACATTTTGGACACCTCAGCAAGTTTCTACGACAACCAACGAGCACCAGCAGCACCGCTGATTTTATCTGAGTGCTGGAATTCTGCAAGAAATCCCAGCACAGACACACAGCAGGACCCTGCCAACATCTTTAGACAAGGTTAAACCACCACCAAAGCAGGCAAAATAATCTGCAAATACATCTTGAAAGGCAAATTCCCAACCAAACATCACTGCACCAAGCAGTGCTGTCACCCAATGGCGATTAGGAGAGGGGAGAAACGTTTCTGCGTGGTTTGGGAGTCAGGCACAAGAACAGATGCTGGTTTGCTCCCACATGGATATAATTCAGGCATTCCCAGCCTTAGCAGCTGCAGCTGATATTGATGGCTGCAGAAAAAAATATCCTTCATCTGCCCCAAATGTGTAACTGGGATCTGAGATGCATGCTCCAAGCAGAACAGTTTCTTCCTGATCCCATCAGCATCCCCAGCAGCAACCGCCTTTAATCATGGCAGGAGAGCCAGCATCCAGGAAAAGGCAAACTCAGAACTCCACATTCTTCTGGCTTCACACTGCAGGGCACGGACCCACGATAAAGAGCCCACATAGTCTCCATCCTCAAACAGCATAAAGCCTGATTTCCTCTCTTATCATGAAAGGCCCACAGTTCCACTGCAGAATGCAAGGTGCTTCATGTCACGGTTTTCATCCTCGCTGGCTCTGCATGTTGGCACGGCTGGGTTTATAAGCTGCGTTTCTGCTGCAGACTACTGGCAAACACGTCAGAAGATCAGCTTGCAGTGACACTCAGGATGCAGATCTGACCCAGTTTTATGGAGGTTTTCAGAGGTGCAGGCAGAAGTAATGACTTTATTTCATAAACCTCACTTAAATTCCCTTCAGCCAGACTGCTGTGATACAGTGGGCATGAAAGAGAATTTGGCACATGCGCTGCCAAATCCCTGTGACTTGCAATCCGTCAGGCCCCTCAAAGCTCTGCACAGAGCTCTGCTCTGGTTCTCCCCCCTCGCTCTCAGAGACTCAAAGACAAGCGAATTACCTGATCTGTGACTCATAAGCTCCATACTCACTTCTCTTGCTTCCTCTCCTCCATGTGAAACCTCCGCTGGGCGAGCGCGCTGTTCGCTCTCCTCCGCTTCTGCTCTTCCCTTTTCTGCTGGATGCGGGCATCCAGCTTGGAGATGGTGCAGATGCCCCAGATGGAATCCTTGATTCCCTGCGGACACGAGGACGGCATGTCAGCCACGGCCAGAGCAGGGCTGGGACGTGGCTGACCGGGCTGCTCCCCGTATGGGAAGGACACAAATGCACACCAGCAGATGCACAAGGCTGCAGATTTGGTTGCTGCTCTACCAGCTCTCCTGCCTGGGAAGAGCTGCCAGCCCAGTAGCAGAGATGTAACATCATTGCAGAATGCAGAGAGCTAACAGCACAGGGAAGCAGAAGCACTGCCAGGACAGCAATGCTGTGACACGTCAAGATAAAGCAACCCAGAAATAAAGCTTCTCTCTCCAAGAAATGTTAGCGATGCTCAGAAAAAGCAAGAGAGATGAAAGATAAACCAAACACCATCTTAAAAACAGCTGTGTTTGATGCCAGCTGCTCCTTGCACAACACTTCCTGGATTTTCATCTTCCAAAGAATGAATACAACCTCCCCAAGTTCCTCGGTTGCATGAAGGTGGATCTGCAGCAGCACTGCCTTCACCCATCCCACGCTCCATGTGAGGTTGGCCAACCCTCAGGTAAGCAGGGAAGAGAACTGGGGGGCAGAAATGAGGGAACAGCCCTCATGTGCATCACCCATTTGCACAGATGGGTGAAGGCCAGCCCCGCTCCCAGCTGGAAGGCCAAGCCAAAGCCAAGATTTGGATCAGTAACGCTACTTTCCACGGCCTGGTGACCTACATCACACGTTCCAGCATCTTTAGGAACAGCACTGGAAAGCCTTTTTCTTTTTTCCCCTTCTTTTTTTAAAAGGTGTGATGCCTCGTAAATCTCCTCTATTTATAACCCTGGCAAAAGCCACGGAGATCTCTCACAGCCCATTTCTTCTGCCTGGCACAATGCACTTCTTCCCCTGCCAGCAGTTCTAAGGCCAATAAAACGTAATTATACAGAATACTCAGAATGTGCAAAGTCCATGTGGCCTCACTGTACGAGCTCGATTCTTATTCCTCCACAAATAAAACCATCTGTCCTTGTCTCAGAAACACTCTCACATCAGCCACGTCCGTGCAAACCTCCAGGGAGCGCCTGAAATGATTTCCAGTGCCATTTCTTTCTTTTAATGACAGATGTGCTGCAGCTGGCCTGGGTGGCTGCTGCGCAGCCTCTTTCTGCTGCAGCACTGGCTGAGCACATCACCATGGCTCAAAATCACGCTGCCTGCACGCATGGACAGGTCAGACAGCCCAGGAAACATCGCTGCACCTCTCCCCCCTGACCCAGCAGCATGAATTTTGACGCCATGAATCTGACAAAGTGCATTGCAAGCTGCTGCTCGTGGTGAGGTGGAGAGTAATTACATGCTGCTGCAGCCACCTCTTACAGATGGCATGAAGGCATCACAAAATGACACTGGTTCTTCTGCTTGGAGTTGTGGCCAGGGCAGCACAGACCTTTGCTCTCTTAAACAACAACTCACCAAAAACAAGTTATTTGTTAGCGTCATGCCACGAGTGTTTTCAGTCTGACATCAACACTTGGGAGAGCCAAGTGAGACAGGGAGCACTGAGTTCAGGCAAAGCGTCACCATAAAATGCCTGCAAGGCTACAAGGGTCACTCCTGCCCAAAGGAATCTGTGACAGGTTCAGTTTGCCCTCTGGGACATATCCCACAGCTGGGATGAAGTGGATCCCACCTGGGATGTGGGGCACAGCACCACTCTAAGAAGCTAAGAATGTTGGTTTTTTTTTTTTAATTCTGATGGCGATTTCCATCACATTGACGTGATTTCTGAAGATGCCTTTAATCTAAATATATCTGGAGCCCCATTCCAATCTCGTAAGCCACTTCCAGGGCTCAGGGGCAGGAGGACCCAGCACCCCGCAGCAGGAGCAGCCCCGGAGCGCAGGGACTCACCCTGACGAGGTCATGAAGGAAGGTTTTCACGCTGTCTGCCATCTCGCCTCCAGCATCACCTCTGCTTCCAACACCATCAACTACAGGGAGAGGGGAAAAGCCGGACCCAAGCCTCTCTCATCATGGAGGGATGGGAAACGGATGGAGCCTGCGGGGACACACAGCGCGGCTCAGAGCACGGAACTCACAGCCGGTCACAGCCCGCGAGCCGCGCCGGGGGAAGCGCAGAGCCGGGAGCGGCACAGCACGGCCCTGCGGCGGCGGATCGCCCACCGACACGAACGCCTCGCAAACCGCAGCTGCTCGCAGCAGAGCGGCTCCGGCACACGGCCGCGCTGCGGGCAGCCGGGGCGGGGTTCCGAACGGCGCTCCGCGCCCCAGGACGCCGAGCGCGGCCGCTCCCGGCTCAGGCACCGACCGGACCCGAAGGGCGCCCCGCAGCTCTGCCCCGCGGCCCGGCTCCTCGGTTCGCCGCGCAGCGCCCAGCCTCACCTCGGGGCCGCCGGGCCGGAGCCGCGCCGCAAACACACCCGGCTCGCGCCGCCCCGGCCGCCGCAATCCGCGCATGCGCCGCGCGCAGCCGCACAGCGCGCAGGTATCGCGCGAGCGCAGTGAGCAGCGCCGCCCTTTACCGTGCAGGCGCCGCCGCTAGGGGGCGCTAAAGTAAGGGGAACGTGAACGGGAGCGCGGTAATGAATGGGAGCGGGGAGAGCTGGGAAATGGAGCGGGAATGGTGCGAGTCGCCGTGTGCGGCACTGCGTCCAGCTGCGGAGCCCCAGTACGAGAAAGACACGGAGCTGCGGGAGAGGGGCCTCGTGACTGGAGCGCATAGACGGGCCGAGAGCTGGGCTTGTTCAGCCTGGAGAAGAGAAGGCTGTGGGGTGACCGCACTGCAGCCTTCCAGGACCTAACGGGAGCCTACAGACAGGAGGGGAATCAGCTCTTGGAAAGGGGAGATAACAGCAGGACAAGGGGAAACGGTTTGAAGTTGAGGGAGGGCAGATTGAGGTTGGATGTCAAGGGGGAAGTTCTTTGCTATGAGAGTGGTGAGGTGCTGGAACAGCTGCCAGAGAGGCTGTGGATGCCCCGTCCATCCCTGGAGGTGTTCAAGGCCAGGTTGATGGGGCCCTGGGCAGCCTGGGCTGGTAATAAACATGGAGGTTGGTGGCCCTGCCTGTGATGAGGGATGTTGGAGATTCATCCTTGAGGTTCCTTCCAACCCTGGCCATTCTGTGATTCTGAGGGGGGCAACTGGCATCTTAGGTTATAGGACACAGTGCGTACAAAAGGATCCCAGGGGGAGATCCAGTTGGAAACATGACTCCCTTCACTCACAGACAGCTGCCACATCCCTTTATTACCATAGCAGCACTGCCCCCCACCCCCAGCACCCACACTGGGGTGCTCCCGCTCAGACGATGGCCGCCTCCAGCAGAGGCTCACTGCCCCACAGCCGCCCAGGCGCCAGCCTGCTGACATCCACAGCCATGCAGGAGCCGTGCAGCAGCAGCTCAGCAGCTGCCTTCCCAGCAGCAGGGGACTGCTGCAGGCCGTGCCCGCTGAACCCCGCCAGCACAAAGACGTTCCGCAGTTGCGGGTGTGAGCCCAGCACTCCATTCTGGTCGAAGGTGTTGTAATCGTAGTAGCCGGCCCATGCGCTCTTCACCTGCTTGGCATTGTAGGGCTGCATCATGGCAGCGTGGAGCCCAAATGCGTGGGACAGAGGGTGGAGGGCACCGTACCTTCAGTGTCTGGAAGGCGGGCACGCGGTGCGCCAGCCGCGGCCACACCTCCTCCTGGAAGAAGTCGTGATCCACCTCCAGGTTTCCTGCATCCGGCTCACGGCCCTGCGTGGCGACAGGCGGTGACCACTGTGGACACCTCGGGGGTCCCCGCAACACTGCGACCCTTGGGCACGCACCTCTGGTGGGCTCATGCTTCCCAGGTAGTTGCCAGCAATGCCTTCGCGCCGGAAATAGGCTCCCGAAGAGTCAATGACGAATGGCGTCTCCAGGCCCGGCCCGCCAGGGCAGTGCCACACATACACGTACCTGTGGGGACATCGCCGTGTCCCACCCCATGGCACAGAAATGGGGGCTCAAAGTGCCCAAACTCAGTCCCAGCCCCGACCTCTTGCGGGGCTCTATGGGGAGAGGGCTCAACGCGAGGCTGCCCCGCAGCCCAGCCGTGGCCGAGTCCAGCAGTTTCCCAGTCCAGGCGCCGGCGGCGAGCACCACGATGGCACAGGAGACGGGCTGCTGCTCCGGGCTGTCGGGAAGGCGCACCTGGGACATTGAGGACGCGGGGCTGGGGACGGGCTCCCAAGTGGTCCCACAGCATGGTGACAGCCAAACACGCTGGCATTGGGGCACACTCACATTAACATATTTCACACGGCCAACGCCCTGCAGCATGCCTGGTGTGTTGTCTGCGGTGTCCATCACAAAAGCTGGAAGTTGTAGGGTGGGTGAGGTTGTCCCGGTGTCTGCAGTGGTGGTGTCACCGCACCCAGGACTCACACGTCACCTCCCCGACGCAGCTGTAGACGCCGAGGGACATGGCTTTCCTTCGGAAGGCGTTGAGGAGGGACCAAGGGTCAAACCAGCCCTCGTTCTCCAGCCCTGTGGACAGACATAATGACACACATGCTGACACACAGGGACAGCAGCATCCCCATCAACAGCACGTCCCCTACCGTAGGACGCCACGACCACATTCTCTGTGTTTATCCATGGGAACTTGGCCTTCAGCTGACTAGGGGACAGCAGGACCACCTTGGCGCCCTCTTCCCTGGAGACAAACAGTGTCACTGAACAGGGGTGTCCCCAGTGTCCCTTTTAATGGGGGTCAGGGGTGGCCATATCACCTCTGCACTTTGACGCCAGCCTCCAGGGTGGCAGCGCCATGCTCAGACGCCAAGAAGAGGTATCCCGAGGGCTGGAACTGAAGGTCGATGGGGGGCTCGTTGGGCACCCACAGGTGTTCCTGAGGGGGGAACAGCACGGTAAGGAAGGGGTAAGAATGAGACTCCTCACTGAGACACCCTCCCACAGTGCTGCCATCACCCAAACTCACGTTGATAGTACGGAGAAAGGCGGCAGATTGCAGAGACAGGCGGATGTTTTCAGGCAGGGAGAACTGCTGCCGGATGCCCCCCACAGACAGCACAGTGGAAGCCTGGGAATACTGTGGGGGGGAAAGGAGAGGGGTGGTGGAGGCAGAGGGGTGTTGAGGTGCGGCATGTCCCTGCCCGACCTCCCTCATCTCCCGGGTCTCACCGTGGGGTCTCGCTCCACCACCACCACCCGCATGCCATGCCGCCTGTTCTCCAGTGTCTTCAGCCAGTAGGCAACCGACCAGCCCAGCACACCCCCCCCCTGCCACCACCACATCTGCTCGCTCTGGGGGTGGTGGGCAGTTCTGGTGGGAGTGCAATGGGTTCCAGGCCCCCTCTGACTCTGGCAGCTGGCTCCGCAGTGTCTGCCCCAGGCGGGACAGCCTCAGCCCCAGCTCTGTGGGAACAGAGGGGGATGCAGCCAGGAGATCCCCCTAACTCCACTTAGAACACCCTCCCAGGTGACTCTAAGACCCTCCTCCCCCCCAAAGTCACACTGAGTACTGCAGGTCCCCCTCCCAGGGCCTCACCCAACCCACCGAGGTCTCTTGGACCCCCCAGACCTCCCAGACCCCTCCACACACCACGGCACACCCCGACGACCCCCCGCGTTCCCATTCACCACCCCTCTGCCACTCCACGATCCATCCGGATCCCCTCGGATCCCCCCAGAACCCCGCCGAATCCCCTCTGCACCCCCTGCGACCCCACCGAGTGACCTTTACCCCCTCCCTGGCCCCTTATCCCTCCGCACATCTCCATCACATCCACACTCGCGTTTCCTCCCGCTGCCCTCAGCCCCAGAGCCCTCATCTCACCGCGGAAGATGTCGGTGCGCTGCGGGGTGGCGGTGCGCAGGGTGCGGCCCAGCTTCGCCCCCCCGCTGCCCTTCCCAGAGCCCCCCCACAACGCGCGTCCCCCTCGCACCGCGCGCAGCATGCCACCCGCCACCCGCCTTTTGCCCTTTGCCCTTTGCCCTTTGCCCCGCCTTCACGACCTTTCCGCCCCTTCCGCCCCTCCCCGTCTCGCCATTGGCTTTCCCCCCCACATCCTTTTTTGGCCTAACAGCCAATGGGAAGCTCCGTGGCTATACGGTCACTTCCGGCGGAAGTGCGCGGAGCAGTGCGACGTGTGCGCGCAGCCCGGCCCGGCGCCGCCATGCTGGACTTCTTCACCATCTTCAGCAAGGGCGGGCTCGTCCTCTGGTGCTTCCAGGGCGTCCGCGGGCCCGCCTCCGCCGCTACTGCCCCTGTCAACGCCCTCATCCGCTCCGTGCTTCTGCAGGTCCGCCGGGGCGGGGGAGCGGCGGCGGAGGCCTGCGTGAGGGAGGGGCCTGCGAGAGGGGGAGAGAGGGAGAGGCTGCGGCCGCGGCCGCGGCTGCCTCCGTGAGCAGAGGGGCTGAGGGCAGAGCTCCTGCGTGGGGGGGGGCGGGACGAAGAGGAACCTCGTATGTGGGAGATGTGCGGTGTAGCTTAGCACCACCGAATTTTGGAGAGCCGCTTTGGAGGGGGGGAGGCTGGAATCCTGGGTTGGAGGGGGTGGGGGTGGTGGGGGTGGTGGTGGGGGTGGTGGTGGGGGTGGTGGGGGTGGTGGTGGGGGTGGTGGGGGTGGTGGTGGTGGTGGGCAGGGGTCCCTATTTGGGCACTGAGGGCTGCGCCTGGAATAGTGTCCCCATTGCGGGGGGTTTGTTCTGGCTGGGGGAAAAGGAGGAATAGCAAGGGGAGGTGTCACACTGTTGCTGTCACCCTGTCACCACCTTGAATTGATGGGTCCATCCCATAGGAGCGAGGTGGCAACAACTCCTTCACCCATGAAGCCCTCACGCTCAAGTACAAGCTGGACAACCAGTTTGAGCTGGTGTTTGTGGTAAGTGCCCCCCCCCTCGGGCTGCCCTGGTCTCTAAATGCTTTGTTTTCGTGATTGGCTGCCATGCTGTCTGCTCTGAGGGACTGTCAGTAAGGGGCTTGTTGAAGCTCAGAAGAGGAAGAGTGCTCAGGGAGGTTTGTGGCTTGGTCAGAAGCTCCAGGAAGGCACAAATGTTGCGTTCTGCCTTCCTGTGGGGCTGAGGCTTTCCCTTGACTTACTGAAACCTCACAAAAAACAGGGCTTAGCTCAGTGCTGTGTGGTGCAAAAGGCGTCTTGCACACAGGGGAGGTGACGCTTTCCCTGGCACAAAATGTCCCTGTTGCTCCTCCTCCTCCACCTGCGCCACCAGAAGAGTTTGGTGCCCATTGAGAAATGCTGCAGCTGGGCCACGTGTCAAACACCCAGTGGCTGCCACTGAGCTGGACTGGAGCAGAACAGCTGGTGCAGGGCGTGCAGAGCTGCCATGGGGACAGCCTGGGAAGAGCAGCACGTGGGCTGCAGGCGGCCAAAAGCCGTCCTGTTTGGACAGGGGTGTTCCTGCACACAGAACTGTCACCTGTGCATCTTGAG